TGCCAAAACTTTGTATGAGGTTGTGTGTGGGAGTGAAAGAGAGGGGTAGGTAATTGTTATCCTTTTCTCTTCCAGAGTTTTTTGTTGCTTATTTTTAGTTTTAACTACAGAAGTTTAATGCTCAGCTCAGGAAAAGAACAAAAGCTAGCTGAGAATTTTCTATGTCAGTGTCAGATGAAAGGGACTGCTCTTCAGGGTAACCATGGCTGAATATTTTACCTGTTAAGCACAAGTTTTCACTATTTTATTTCATGATTCCACCATCTGTATACATTTAAATGTGACTATTTCTCCATCCTTGGGGATAGTTCTTATGATCTCTTTTTATTTCATTTTTCCATCTTTCCTTGCTGTCTAATTGTGTATGCAGCTTTTGCAGGAGACAACTCACTGTTCCTCAGAGTCTGCTGGAAGGGATCGTAAGGTTATGAAGGATTACTCTTCCTGTCTCCCTCTAGTAGGTAACTTCTAATAGTAGCTAACTTTGGACAAATCAATCCAGTAGGCTTGTGAAGCATATCAGTTTGTTTCTTACAAAGTTTCTAATTTCCAGTTAATAGATGATCTTTAAAGCTGTTCTCTTTCTGTTTTCTTTTATTTCTAAATTGCTGTTCTGCGTTTAAGTTTTCATTTTATCTACATACTAGCAAAATACCTATTGTGTCTGCTTTTAAACTACATATTTCAAAGAACTATGTTGTTGAGCAGGATTTATGGTGAAACTACAGAACCAGTTTTATACATTACATCCATTCATGCAATTTTAATTGTAGAACCCAGCAGTGTTCAGCCACAGATCTGACATATGTTAGAGAGAGAAAATAAATGGCTATTTTATCTTCCTTTCCTGATACCTCATCTAAGCCCAACCAATAACCCAAATCTTGCAAGTTCCCAATCCTGCAATGAACTCTACCATGAGAAACACCTCAGAATTTGACCTACAAGTTAAATTAATTTTAAGAAAACCTTCAGGTATAGGCTGTTACTTTCAGCTACACTGTTTTTTAGTATATTATGCAAACTGTACACTTTGCATTGGAGAGTATTTGTGAAATACAGAATATGTCTCAACTTTTTGTTAGCAATAGAGGAGAATTGCTGGAGGATTGCATCTAACAGTGGGACTGACACCAGTGAAATTCTGATTTAGCAGCACTGGGGTTTTTTGTTTGGGTTTTTTTTTTGGCTACCCTCCAATCCCATCTGAGTGGATCAGGAGGTTCGGAGAGTTCCAGGATTTTTAAGATTTATACCAGAGGAATATGGCGTTTTCATTCAGGTAGGGCCACGGCAACACAAGTTGGAACAATGAATTCCAATTGTCGTTATTTTGTGCCAATACTGTGGAGTGGCCAAAGGTCTAAAAAGTCCAGAAAAGCCTTAGGCTGCCATCATCTCCCATCTTTCCACAGGTTTACACTATGTTGCAACACACCATGTGAACGCTGATGTAACTGTGAATTTAGCAGTGATTTTTGTGGAAGAAAACTCCTCCAAAATTACAGCTTTTTCTTTTCAGGCAATGTTTCCTCTTCATCCTACACAAAGGGACAGATACCAACATAAGAGGTCTGTAGACCTATTAACACTGCTGAGTCCCATTGCTCATCTCGGAAAGGCTTGCAGTTGCCCAGATGCTGTTCTCCAGATGCTTGAGAGACATGATCTACATTGCCAGTGTGCTCTTGTCACTGTTGCATCACCAGATGGCCACTTCCAGTGTCCTGCTGCAGTTGCAGTGGGAACATTTTTCCTAATAGCTTATTAAATCTTTCTTGCTTCAATTTAAACAGATTACTTCTTCTTCTTGTCTTTATGGACATGAATTGCTCACTGTTTTCTTTACAGATTACTACCTTTTAAATAGTCAAGGACAACTGCTTTCTCCCCTCAGTCATCTCTTTTGTAACACATCTATTTTTTTCAGTCTCTCCTCACGGGTCATCCTTCCCCAAATTTTTAGCATTCTGACTGCTTTCTTTTGAAGCCTTTTAAATTTGATTGCATCTTACTCTGTGATGTTTTAAGTGTGTGCATCAGCCTAAGCACTGTCTCATTGGCTTAAATAAACAGAAATAACTTGTCCTTTTCCTCACTTACGGTACTTTGTTAGTAAGTGTCCCAGTATACTGTCTCAGAGCCTCTTCTGTGGCATGGCTATTTCTTTAGACAGTCCATTTCCCTTTTTGTATTTCTGCGTTTGATTTTTTTTCTTCCTAAGTTTAGGGGTTTACATTTGTTTTTATTGACTCTAACTGTGCTGATTTCAGACTGTTTCTAAAATATGAGATCATTTTGAGTGCTAGTCCTGCCTTTCAGGGCACTCACAACTCCTTCCAATCTGATGTGATCCACAAATTTTATTACTATGTTTCCTATAAATCATCAGTGTTGTAAAATAAAATACAGACTGGAGCTAGACTAAGGAAAAATTAGCTTGCTTCTTACTTACAGTAGTACATTGTTCAAAACCTCTTCACAATCTTCTTTTGAACTATTGATGGCTATGCCTTGAATATGTTTTTTTAACCAGTTTTGGAACCAGCTGTGGTGATTCCATCTAGCCACTGCCTCTTTACTTTGCTTACAAGAATGTCATGACGGACACTATCAAGAGCCTTACTGAAGCCAGCTAAACTATGACAGAAAAGTGTTAGATTGGTTTTACGTGACTGCCCTTTGATAAATCCATATTGGGTGTTCATCGTTACCTAATAATTTCCAATAATATACCAATAATTGCCAAACTTTCTAGACCATAGCTTACTACAGTCCACAGTTTCTAGTTGCCCACCAGACTATTAATAAAAGGGCATTACTAAGATGATGTACATTTTAATGTGAAGTATGAATTCATGGTCCCTTTGCTTCAACTGGAGAGCACAGTTTGGGACCTGATGTTCCAGCTGATTGTCCAGTAAGTTGCTCTACTACCTTTCTGAGTGTCAGAGACTGGCTGACTAGTCTGTGATTATTTGAGTCCTCCTTTCTGGAGATATAGTTGCCTTTTTTTCTCAGATTTTTCAGTGACGGCTTTGCATTCATCCTTAATCACTTGCATTCTTTCCGTGTTTTTTAGCATATAGCTAGACTGTCCTTGCTGCTAAGGATGACTGTAAAGCTCTCCTTGGAATCAGACAGGCCTGCTGTACAGGCAAGGATGGTAAAAGTATGGCCATAGCGTCAATGGACTGCAGTCTCCATAAAAGCTGGGACACAACATGCACTAGGTTAATGTGGACCACCATTTTCCTGCAGGTACCCAGACAGTGTCCGAATTTTTTACATACATTAAGCCAACATCTGCCGCTACGTCTATTAATTGTATCAATAACAAATACTTCTGCACAGGGTTAGAAACTGACTCAGTTTGAAGGAAAATAATGATTTTGAATAATTTTAATTTAGTGTTGTACCTTGCTACGTACATTCATGATCAGAGAGTATTTGCAGTGGGAAGATGAGTAACAATAACCTTGATATACAAGCATCTTTTTTTAAAAAATACGGCAAAATAATCTAAGGAACACACAGACTTCCTCACTTTAAAAACTTGTTGGTTATATAATTATTGAATAACCCTTAAAAAAATCCAATTTCATCCTGTCTGATTCTTGGAATACCACTGGTGAATAGGAATTTCTCTTCTAAATGGATCTCTTTTCTTTCTCTGTAACTCTGGCTTTGCTTTGTCTGCAATTGCTGATGCCTTCAGATTGGAACAATGTCCCACTCACACCTGGTGTGGCCTTTTGACCTGCAAGCAACTACTCTTACTTATGCATCTTTTATTTTAGAAATCAGGCCTAATACCTCTGATACCTTTAATACCTTCTGTGAGATGCCTGTCTCTTATCGAGCAGAACTGCACTGAGCAGATTTTAGGTTTTTGTCATGCTTGTTAAGGAAAGCAGTACTAAGAGATTAAATGTCACAGAATAGGTATAGTAGTCATAGAAATCAAGAGGCTGCAGAGGAGAGAAGGTGCAGACCAAACAGACAAACTGAACTGTGACATCTGGTAATTCTATGATGCCCATTAATGCTTGCTGGAGTTGGAAGAGAGTCTCATTTGGAAGTGAAAGTCTTCTTGGCTCTGTATTTTCCTGTCTTCCAGTTGGCTGCACTGGTGGGCTGCAGGTTTTTTCTTACTTGGAATTGGAATAAGTGCGTCTTGTTCTTTTGAAAATCTTGTCCTGAACATTCATGGTGAAATATATTGTAGATGGTTTATTACCATTTCATGGCTGATTATTCTTAAATCATATTAAATATTAATTGATTTGTTTCTATGAAAAATGACTAAGCTACTCTGAATACTGAATTTCCAGATTGGATGCGCGCAACTATACTATCACTCTGGTATTTCTGAAGAATTCAGTATTGGCCTGTTTCTGCTCCCATTGAAATCAATTAATTAGCACTTAAGAAGTCTTGTCTTTAAATGTTCAGCTGATATGATATAGGCTGATTTTTAAATTCATGCTTTGATTTGTCTTGTCCTTTTCACAGCAGACTGCATTATTAACATAAGCCTGGGCTTACGCTATTCAGTAAGTGGTCTTGTCTTGTTTTTATCCCTTGGTCAATTACTAGTTCGTTAAAATATTTACCTCTGTGATGTTCATTTTTCTTTCTCTGCTCTATTATCCTGTATCTTTGCTTTGCAGAAATGAATCTGCAATTATTACTGTACAGATTGCAGTCACACTTCACTTAAGGGCAAGGTTATTCTTTTGTGCATAACCTTTTCCAGTTGCAAGGACAGCAATATAATGATGGAAACCTGTTGGAGGAGTGTCAGGATCTTAATTCTTTAGGACTGCAAATGTTTTTTGAGTTTTGCATCAACTACAAAACAAGAGGAGTCTAGAACATCATCAAAATTCATTTCTAAACACTGGGACAGGAGACTAAGTTGTCTAAAGTCTGGCATTTGGAATTTGTATGAGGATAATTGTAATTATAAGAGTTTTTCTTTGCTTAATTAAAGGTACTCCTCTGCAGAAATAAGAAAGCAGTTTACTCTTCAACCAGGCTTTGCACAGTTCTGTCAACGAAGCTTAAGTACCCCTGGCTTTTCTACTCTTCATCTGGTAAGTTCTGAGTTTATCTTCTTTACACAGGTTTGGCATCTGCATTGCTTAATGCTTTTAGGGTAAATTAAGTGATCTTAAGTTGTCTTGCTTTCCACTGGCTTCTGCCTGAAGCTGTTAAAAATACTCCCTGGTGAACTGAAGAAATTATGCATTTGAAAGAAGTGAGAATGGTCCTCAGAGCCTGAAATGACAGTCTTTCTGCATGCTACTATAAATCAAAGTTAATTAGTAAGTGTTGGAGTATATTACATCTTTTCCTTGCTGGAAACACTCAACTCTATCAAGTAAATGCATTATGTGGTGATCACAGATGATTTGCAAAAGGAGGTCAGTGAATAAAGAGAAAAAAAGAAAGGTAAAGGCTCAGCTAGCTTGGCTTAATACACAATTTCCAGAGCTAGCAGCAGAGGCAGCACACTGACCTGATTTTCAGTGCTGTAGAGTAAGCATGTTCAGTGAGAAATGCCGAAGTATGTCCTGATTGGCATAGATATAATTGACTCAACTGTTATGTGTCTCTGAATCATCTTCAGCCTTCCACGTGTAATCCCCCTCTAGATAAGTTAGACCCTATGACACTGCCCTTATGACAAAGGGGAAAAATGCCAGCTCTTTTTAGTTGCCTTTCAGGAGCATGGGTATTCTGCAAATGTGTTATGCCATAAATTAAACTGTCTAACATGTTGATACTCACCTTCTTCGTACTCTTTCAATTTTTTCTTATTTTTGTGAGACCCAATAAGTAGAGGCAGGAAAAGTCTTTGTGCACCAGTGGTTTTGAAAAATTTAAATCATGTAAGCACTTACTTCCTGTGTGTCAGTGCCTCCCACCACTACTCACTTCTTAATCAGAAATGCTGTGGTGTTTTGACTTGTTCTTTGCGGTTATTCAGCCTGGGGATGCTAGGCTCCTTCTGCATGCAAACAACTGCTTTTGCTCTTGAGAAACTTGATAACGTTTAATTTACTGAATATTACGCCGTAGCCGCCATTTCGTGTGGTGTAACAATCTACATGCCTATAATCCATCATCCTTAAAAGGTATGTTTGCAGTAATGATTTGTGGCATTTTCTGTAGAATAATTGTTTTACACACTTGTATGATGTGTGAAAAGAAATGTTGGCTTCTCAGTTGAAACAGTATCTCTGTTTCATTTGACAGCTCGCACCAATTGTTAGGGAGACCATTATCCTCCATCTGCATTGACCTTTTCCACCATCTTTTTTACATTTGTGTCTAATTTATGATAGTCAAAAGTACACATTTCTAGTGATTAAAGATTATTATTAACACTTCAACTAGAAAAAGTTAAAAGACATAATGAAATGCAGTGGATTTGACTTGCCAGCATGGAAAAGTGTGATTTCTGAAAGGAAATGCAATGCTTAATCAAAAATTTGATGTATTAAGCAAAAATATTTTGTGTGCGAAACACTACATCTTCAGCAACTGAAAAGATGTAACAAGCTTTTGTATACTTTAAGCTGTGTTTTACTTTAATCTTTTGTAAATTTTTTTTTTTTAGTAGAGCTTCATATGTATATGTATACTAACATGTAATGTTTTACACTCTGGCAGTACAGTAAGTGAACTTCAAGGATATTATGATGATAATTAATAAAAAATCAATAGCTAATAAAGATCAATTTTTACTCATAACCGTTGATCCAGTATGCTTAGCACTACACTAGGTACGAACCAGAGATAATGCTTAACCTAAAAATTTATTAACAGCACGGTGTATTTCTTCAACTGTCTGCCTCGTGATTTGGTGGACTTACTGTCTGTTTTAGGTTTTCCCTTTGGATAAAAAGAGCAAATAAAGAGAGGGATTTTCCCGAAGGTTTTCCCAGACAATTCAGTTGATCCGTAAAATGTACAGGCACATGAGTGAGCTCAGAGACTTTATTTATGCAGAGACCAATACAGTTTCCCTATAAAAAGGGAACCTGGGGCGGCAGCTGGTGTTAGTTGTATTCAAAAGTCTCTACTACATTATTTGCGGGAGTATTTTCCACAACTATTTTTTTCAAAAGTTTAAATTGTTTTGCTTCTTCCAGGTGTTTTTAGCACATGTCTTTGAAATATACTTCACTTTCTGCAAGATATTTCTGGATTTTTATTAGGTGATTAACTTGCTTGCTTTTATTTCCAGAACACTAAAAAGGCTCCAAAACTCGTATTTAGTGCCAATCAGCTTTAACTCATCCTTTTATCTACAGTGACTGATGTGGCATATTATGTGTGAGCCATTTTTGTTCGGAGTTACGCAGAGTTTTACCACTTTTGAGCACCTTTATATGTTTCATAAATTGTGGAATTCTGCACTGTTCTATTGAGCTAAAATTCCTGATGTTGTGGGTGTAACACTTCTGTGCAGAAGTCAGTTCATGCTCAGGCAAAAATCCTATCAACTTCCATGGCAGCCCTGCACAAGTAGGACTCAGTAATAATGAGTGAAGGCCTCATGGTTTTGGCCCACAGATCATATTTGTGGAGAAGAACACTGGAGTATAAGGAGGATAGCTCCAGAACGCATGTTGGATGAGACAGTAGCCACAGTAACATTGAATATAAAGGCAGTGTTGATATCAGTGACATTGGGTGCCTTATTGTCCCCACACCCCAGCAGCAGCACCATAGAAGTAGATTATCTGATCTATCTTCAGACTATTTATTGCTCACAGCTTCGGAAGGCAGTCTTGTGAAAGGTATTTGGGCTAATTGGTGCAGTGCAATCCTTGCTCTTTACAGACAAGGATGATTTGATAGCTATTTTTTGCTAGAATTCTTTCTCTTAGTAAATAAATTATTCCAGTGCTATTATCCTAATGCTGTATTTTTCTGGCTTGCACTGCGCTGAGGTGTCCTCAGCCTTTTTTTAACTCACAGAACATAAGCTATAGGTTTTCTAAAGCTGTAGTTTCTAGATCTATTTGTTACTTGTCAAGAAAATTAACAATATGAGATGCTGGTTTCTGTACTCAAGTGGGCAGATGTTTTATTTTGTAAACGTATACAGGCTATTTTTGTTGGCTATATAGCAAGTAAAATAATTTTCAGTTTTATCTATACATAGAACAACATATACATTTAACATATGAAGTCACATTTATGTGTATGTGGAACATTTCTAGGTACCGTATGGGACAAGATTTTCTGCCTCTGTTTTTGAGACTAAGTAGACAAAAAGAGCCAGACAGCTTCATAGCATGTATGCGTGCCAGAGCTTGTACTTGTTTAACTTTATTCTGATCAGACATTTTGTGTAAGAATGGCTGATTAAATGTAATCAAATACAACTGCTCTCTGTCAAGGTACAATGCCACATGCTGTAGAAACAGTGGATGTCTAAGGTTTGCAATAATAACTTTAGTAGTTCCATATAACGTTTTGTGTAGTTACTGTACTAACCCTTGAAAAATCCAATAAAATTAGAACTCCAATAATATGCAGACCAGTAACATTCAGAGATGGAAAATAATTTATTCTGAATTTGGGTATATCTTGCCCTCAACTTTGTTCGAAATTGAAAGCATACAGCATTTCTAATAGCCAGAATCTTTAAGCACAGCACCTCAAGTGAGTGGCATCTTCATGATGGCAGCCATGGTGCTTAGCTCAGTATAACTTCCAAGACTTACTGCCTTGGCCTTGCTATTGCTGATGCCTTTCATCACACGTGCTGCAGAGTCCGTCGACAGCTGGTTCTGCCTGTCACTATCATTTTGGTCACCTGCCCTTATCCTCTGCTGTTCCTACTCACTGCTGCCTTTTTCATAACTCTGATTAATACCATGGATTGGACAAGGGGGACTGAGTGAACTTCACAGGAATCCAGCAGAACACATCTGAGGGCATCCAGGATTTACTTCAGTCTTACCTCCTTCTACTAGCATCTAGGAAAGCTCGACGGAGAAAACAGGTGCAAATGTGGATTTAAGTGTAGTATCTTCAATTTCTTCTTCATATTTTAAAACTTTCCTGTCTTTGTTCCCTTTCTTTTTTCAGCTGAATGTTTCATTAGCAACTTTTCCCTGCATTAAATGCAGTGGCGCTGTATATAAGTTTAGAAGTCTGTTTCTGATTTTTAATAAATAATGGGACAGTGACAAGAATTAAATAAATAAGCCTAAATTACACTATTAAGAAAAACCTTCTGTTGCTAAAATAAACGCCTCTTCGTTTCTTCCATTAGCCTTCCTTTTATGACGCAGTAGACCCTGTAGATTTTGAAGGCTTCCTAATGACACGGCTGAACAACTTGGACTCAGAACTAGCACAAGAATTTGGTGACTTTCCTGAAGATGACTTGGACATTGTCTTTACACCCAAAGAGTGCAGGACTTTGCAACCCTCTATGCCAGAAGATGGGTAAGGAGGCTTTATCTCCCTGTGAAATGCTGCAGGTTTAAAACTAGTTTTGAATATGTTGATCCAGAGACCTGAATCAGCCATCCATCCAGCCATTATGCACTTGCTGAATTTCAAACATTTGAACTTTGCCATTGATTCTGTTAGGCCTATTTGCACACTTAAAGTTATGCAAGTGCTTACACAACTTCCTAAGCTAGCTGGTAGCAGCAGAAGTGAGGTAGGCATAGACAAGGAAGTAGAGTAAAGAAGGGCAAGAGGGCAGTACGCAAAATAATTTAGTAGCTGTGATCCCAGAGGTGGAAGTTGATTCTGATCATGTAGTAAGCATAGGATTGAGGGTTTCTTATATTTTTTTCTTTTTTTTTTGCCAGCTATGTGTTACATGACATTGTTCAGACCACTAAACATCTCTTTCTCAGTACCTTTCTTGCTTAAATGGGGGAAATATTTTATACTTCACAAGGTTTGGGGGAAAAAAAAAAGTGTTCATTTCTAGTGTAGGAGTCCCTTTTGGTTTCAGGCTCACATTAATGAAATAATTCCACTATTTCCAACAGCTTGTAAATTAAAATAGTAGCATGTGTTGATACTGATGCTTGAGCATCCTTGAAATAGTTAAGCTGGTTTGATAAATAGGCAAACTACAGGCAACAGAATCTTCGGAATGAGAAACAGGGATGCATTGGAGAGTTTTCTGATGTGGGTTAGGAAAGTCTTGTGCATTGTATACAAAATAGTCTTCAAGGGTTGTTTCACTAGAAGTGGTACCTTCAAGTAGAACCACAAAGGCCTATTGAGTTTTGCAATCAGTAGCAACCAGATAAATGTGAAGTCAGCACGAATTTAGCTCCAAACTGCTATGTCTGCAAAGACGGCTAACTGTGCAACATGTTTGGGACGAGGGGCTCACTTCTTCCAGTATAGTCAGGAAATGAACGGCACAGTCTACATTCTCTGCTGTGCTGAACCTGAATGCTGAAGGGACAAATAAGCTTAACCTATGGTGTCCTGGCTCACAGGGTAGACCTGCATCTCGCTCTGTTTCTGCAAATGTTGTTACAACCTGCTCTAATCTATACCAGCCAGCTGTATAAACTAACGCCCTGTACAACAGTCATATTTGTTCAATGTTCTCTGCCCAACATACCAAATGCAGTAAGGCTAAGAAGGAACCACTGTTTATATAATTTTTGCCAGCTGAGGACTAGCTGAGAGCCCCTCTCTTTAAGCAAGGTCTCAGCCTGCAAGTTCCTTCTTGGGTCAATGCATCTCTCGGGAAGTTCACGAGAGCAAAGGCGGTAGAGACGAGGTGCCATGCTAGGTCACCTGAGAACTCTTTGAATCACACAGCTCCTAGGGGATTTTGTAACATTTACACAAAAGGTGACTTTCACTTGAAGTTACTCATAGAAAATATTCCGATCTTTATCATGAATTCTTGTTTTCCTGTGGACTGGGGAGAGAGAATACATGTGGGAGACAGTGAATATTTTGGTGCTTGAAGTTCCCATTTATTGAAATGATATTTAAATAGTAAAAAAATATCCAACTTTGAAATGAGATTTAAAAGATAAGATGACTATTTCTCCCTTATTTCCAAGGTTACTTCCCAGCATCTCTGCTATTTCAAACAGTGGTTATCTCTTTGTTTTTCTGGTAGGAGAATATGTAGACTCACACCATACAATCAGTTTTAGGCCTGATTTGCACCACAGTGACATTAAGGGTTTTGTAAGGAGTCTGTGGCAAAGCTCCAATAGTCAATACTGACAAATATGCTTTCAGCAGATGTTTTTATGCAGCAGCTTTCCATTTAGGCATTTACACCACCATCATCGATATTAGTGCTTTCACAGAAAATCCTGGTCAAGGATGCCAGGCTGTGTTAGTGAACATGAAAGCACAGGAAGGGCACGCACTAAAGATTCGCCTACAGGTAATGCAGTCTGTGGTGTCTTCCTGCACCCCGAGCAAGAAACAGATACCACTGACCAAACTGGATTAACATGCTGCCTGCTTGCAAACATACATCCCACCTGAATCAGATGCAAGAAGTGACCATGTGCTGTGTCAGTCCACTGGTGGCAGGGGCACACAGCAGTCTGGTATCAGCTAAGGCTCTGTGCTGTGATGCACGCATGAACCCAAATCAGTTGTTACCTGGTCTTGGTAATCAGTTGCAAATTTGTTAAGAGTTCTGGGTGGAAGGTGCTAAAAGGTATCACACCTTTCACCCATTGTATTGTATCTTATCACCATTCTTGCATTGTGTGTATCCTACTATGTTACTCACTTGGATCAGAGGATGTAACAAGTGATTTTGGTACAGGCTACTAAAATTTTTTAGAACAGGGTAGAGGAATTATGCTACAACATCATGACAGCAAATTCATGGACATCAACTTTAGCTTATAATATTTCAGTTCCAATCAGTATCCAGTCTATCAGGCAGCACTGACAACCCCTTACATTAAATGAGACTTATTTGAAAATCATAAAATTGAATTATAAGATCATAAAGTTTTATTATGCTATCTGATTAAAAGCTTAGGGTCCCTTTTTAGAATTTTCTTCATTTCTATAAGAAAGAGAAAATTACACCAAAAACATACAAGAGACTATGTATTTGCAAGAGTCCAGGAGCTCAGGCCTCGGGAAAAATCTCTCTACATGTTGAGACTTGTTATCAAGTTTTGGAAATCACAAAGATGGGTAGCTGGTATAATTTATTTTGTTTTGCTGTATTTCATAGCAACATAGGTCTTATATTCATGAATGGATAGTGTGGCAAATGGTTACCTCTGTTAAATGTATGTCTGTTGATTTGTGAGCACAGTAACAAAAACCTGCATCAGGGAATTCATGCAGTACACAGAGTTCTTTAAACCTCAAACAGTAGTTTAGCAGTAAAATAAATATACAGAAGACTAATAGAGAGGCCTTTATCTGAATAGCATGTTTAGATAAATCTCTTTGTCCTTAAGGTATGATGTAGCTACTAAAATATTTACAATATGTTGCTTTTTCCCCAGGGTTGAACTGGACTCACATGTCAGAGACTGTGTTCAGACATATATGCGGGAGTGGCTGATTGTGAATCGAAAGTAAGCTACGTACAAGTAAATAAAATAGAAAATACCTTGCATCTTATTTGGCAGAGAGGACAATCCTAAAGAATAATTATTTGAATCAGTGATTGAAGACAAGAACTGACTTTTCTGTAGTATACATAACCATATTGTTTTGCTTGAGTCAGTGGACTATAACTAGATATTGTTGCATCTGCTTTTTAATTATCAGACACTCTGGGAATTAATTGGGAAGAAATTCACATTAACAGTCTGTAATGATGGTTTGTCTTAATCAGGAATACTACTACTATTTGATCACACTAAAAGGAAAGATAACAGGGATAAAGATTACATTTGCATGCTCTTCATTTTCCCCTCCATGCCCTGAAAATTCAACATGATCTGATTCCTAATGCTGTCTGAAAATGAAACAGAGTGCTAGTAGCAAAGAAAATGAGGATTATTAGCTTTCCCAGCAGTTATTGATTCTATTCATGGGATTATTAGTGTAAAATCCAACTTTACTATTTTATACCAGTAAGCAATTTCTGCATTTGGAGTCAGTGTAATTCAATGCACAGAACTGGACCTGTAGTCCTTACAAGTGACTTTATTTTATTTTATTTTTGGTTTGGTTTGGTTTGGTTTGGTTTTATTTTATTTTAAAATTTCATTTCATTTAGTTTTGTTTCTTTTAATTTTGTTTCATTTTGTTTCATTTCATTTCATATATTAAATGTGAAGGGAACTCTCAGTCAATGCTTTCTGTGCAGGGGTGTCTGTCTGTCCCTAGACTCTCAGGGATGTGCTGTGCCAGTGGAGCTCACTTCCTTGCCCATCACCCCCTCCTGTTCTTCAGAAAGAGGTTTTTGGAGCTCTGTTTTTCTGCGCGGCTTCCTGTTCATCCCCTCCTGCGCCCATGCCCTGTTCTTGAGAAGCAGTAGTAGCAGCCGGTAGTAGAGCACTGGCACATTTGCTGGTATTTCGTTGTGCCCCTTCGCCTGCCCTTGCTACTCTCTTTTTCTGACCTGATGTACATCAACAGTCGGTGCGTTATAAGTTGATTCCTGGTGATTGCAAAGGAGTTGCATTATTAATTGCGCAGCTTGTACAGGGACGGAGCAGCTGCTGAGGGTTACTAAGAAACTTCCTCCGGGGGTGCTGATGAAATTGATTGAGTTCTCAGAACTGTTCCACAGTGAGTCACTAAAAATAAGCTAGCGGGTTTTGCAGGCTCTCCACCTGCACCGCTCAGAGTACAGGCGCTAGCTCTTTCATGCTGTGTTGTTCTGAGCATGCTGTAAAAAGCCAGCATGCAACTTTGTCTGTGCACACGAGTAGGGAGCGAGCAGTAAAGTAGGTGAGCTGAAAACCAGAACATAGCTATTTTTGCACTTATGTGTGCTTGTAGAAATGTGAATCGATCCATAGAACTATACATGCATGAAAGATTTGCCATGTGTTTTACTATTTCATTCATTCAGGTAAGGCAAATTTGCATTCAAAAACTTTATTGAGCAGTTGAGTCTGAGGTAAACATGAAGAAGGGCCGTGCCAGAGACCTGAGCTTTGATGGCTGTGGCTAACAAAGCAAGCAAGTTATTAAAAATTGCAAAGAACAAGACAGTGTAAAAGATGCTGCAGTGTCACATAAACCAGTGATAGATTGTTATGATGAGTCTCATGTTATGCTTGGACACTGTTCTCAAAACAGATGTGACAGAGAGACATCAAGAGGGAAGCGAGAAAAAGTAGTTCTATAAGGCTTTCCATTGCTTTGAGAAAGGCTGGAAAAACTGTAGTTTCCTACTTGGGAGACAAAGATTCATGGGGCAGGTTCCTGAACGTATGGTCTGGTGAGCTATGGATGTGAGGAGTGTATAAGTGACTTTCATCCATTCATGCATGTGAAGGAGGTTAAAGAGTCTTCAGTGGGTAGCATGAGCAGAGATGGTCCTTATGCTCCAAGGTGGAGAGGTATGTGACAGAAAGGCTGGACACAGCTGAGGGATCCATGTGTTTTTGCCAGAGGCTGAACAGGAGGCTTGTTCCTGTGCCTGTCAGTGTCTCCTTTCAGTTGTCCATTGTTCCTTTTGCTGGTCTCATTTTCTTAATTCAGTGTGTGGCCATTAAATTGACATGTGTGCCAAAAGCAGGATTTGCCTCTTGGTGAGTTTTAATTGCTGCTGTGCTTTTCAAAATAAATAAACAATAAAAATAAATTTTCCAGGAATAGTTCAGGGGAAAGGCATCTCTAGTGCAGCTTGTACACCACAGGGCAAGTGTGATCTCAGGTACATAAATCTCTCCATTAACCATTTGTTTGCCACCAAAGGTAGTGAAAAAATAATCAACAAAACCTCTTTTGGATACTGAAATGTCTTAAAGTAAACTCGTGCAGAATTTCTGTCTTTCATTCTGGATGATTAAGGCAGTTCCAAAACAAGGTCACATCCAAGGAGAGCTGGGATTGTCTCTTTTATGACTTCAGTTTTCATTTGCAGTGAACTGGTAAACGATTAAAATGCTAGCAATTAAAATTAAAACACATCAGAGCATATAATTCAGTTACTCCCAAAATGTAATAAAAAGGTGTCTCCCTGATCAATAATTGCTTATCATGGCATGTTTATGAAAGGACTCAGATGTATAGACATTGCTCTGGGAGTGTTGGGGAAAGGAAAATGAACAAAGCAGGATACTGTAACTAAGGAGGCTGACTGCAAAAAGGCCATCACGGGATTTAGCAAATTGCATTCTAAAGTGTAAGAAACAGAGCTCTGGTTGCATCTGGTATCTTTTTTCAGGGTATCTGCTATTTTTTTCCATCTGCCACAAAAATGTAAATTGAAATTGGTACCTTGCTGCGTAATTTTCAGAAGTTGCCAGCAGAGAGGGTTACATTGTGCCATAGCAATAGCCCTCTTCAAAAACAGGCACTGTTTGAAAGGTGTAGATTGTTGTATGTGATTAACTTGGGGTACCAGCTAGGTCCAGGACAGAAACAGTAAGGCCCTTGATGTATAATTGCAGGAGCAAAGAGCCATCCAAGACATAAGTGATCCCGGTCCATGTTCTTAAGGTCACTGAAATAATCACCATGTCTGATGAGGAACTCAGAGCTGAATAATTTGTACCTAGGTCAGGTTTTGCTGCTGTCTCAGGCTCACAGTCTATGCAAAAGTGATCTGAATTAATTTTCTTCCTTTTAAAACCATTCTTAGTATACATGATAGCGTTGCAGTGGTGTGATAAAACAATTAAGCATTGTGAAATGTCACATTTGTGCATAAAAGCTGTGCCACCCTGCTCTTTTGCATAATAATGTTTCCAGTTGCTTAATATTTTTTTAAATTTGTCTTTTCTGTTTTATTTTCCCTTGACAACTCCTCATGCTGTCCTGACTTGCTTGGGCTTCTCTGTGAAAGGAACCAAGGGAATTCAGATACTTGTAGTCTGAAAAACAAGGGATCCCGAAAGGATTTTCACAAGATGCTTCAAAAGCAAACTTTTGAATCAGAAACATTGGATTCCAGCGATGCAAACTTTCAGGTACATTTTCTTCACTTTGGGAAAAGAAATCAAATGCAGCAGCTTTCCTCAAAAGAAGCATCCTAGGATCTTTGTGATGGCGTCATGCGGAGAGCTGTGCTTGCTGTTAGGCCTCACGGCAGAAGTGGCATTAAGGCCCTCACTGCCAGAGAAGCAAGAGGCGTTTCACGACACCCCGGTGTCCAAGCCACAGCTCGCCATTTTGTTGTTTTCTAACAGGTGGGGCCCCGACATGTCCACACCCTCCCAGAGGAGGCCTCGAGGACAACTCTCTCCTCCTCCGACTTTGACTTGCGCAGCCTGCGGCCAGACCCCCGCCTGGAAAACCTGCTGCGGCACGTCAGCGCCGAGGAGTTTGAGAGGCAGAATGAGGAGGCGCGGCGCACCAACAGGCACGCCGAGCTCCTCGCCCTCTACCCCTCTGTGGATGAGGTGAGCTTGGAGGCTGACTGGCCCACAAGCCTTCCCGAGCTGGCTGTCCTGGCGTGTTTAAGGTTAAAGTTGCACAGAGGTCTAAAAAACAAGAGTTTGTGGCCTAGATATGTGTCTCCCTTGGATGATAACATGGTGATGGCATGTCACTATGGGCACCTGTCAGCGCTATCTTGAACATGCATTCAGGGGTTGTACTCAGACTTGTGGTGTTGCCTGAGGCTTTGTTATACCCCTCTCAGTGTGGGTCAAGCTGTGTGCTGGTGATACGGTTGTGTCAGGGTGTTACCCTTCACTGTAATGCTTGCTTGGGGGCCAGAAGTGTAAATACGCAGTGTAAATGCCAGATAGGGGTCAGAAGTGTAAATATTCAGAAATATAAATCAATTTTCTTTCATCTCTGAAAACATGAAATACCTGCTCAGTGGGAGAACATGGTAGTCTGTAGCAGTGGCCTAGTTAACATCACATAAAGGTTTTATGTAAGTATGTACATTTACAGTTGTTTTAACCAAGTATGACTAGAATAACTGTTTAATGATAGGAAGATGCAGTGGAGATACGGCCGGTGCCGGATCGCCCAAAGGAACATCTGGGCAACAGGATTTTGGTGAAGCTGCAGACTCTGAAGTAAGTATCCTTCACAGGCTTTGCTCACCATTTCTCAGTTCCTATCAGCGTATGGCTGCTGACTGCTACGCCACTCCAGGTGTCCTGTTCAGCAAGTGTTTACATGCTTGCTTGTTCTTGCTTAGTGTGCCAGAGGACTCTTTCTATCCATCATTACAGAAGTCTTTAACTTGTCAGGTTGGGAATAAGCCCAAATTATGTATCTCCACCAAACTAACTTGATCTCTGTACACGCTACTGAACTTGATAAACAGGAAGAAAATCAAGAAAGGTATGACCATTTTAACTGATATCTGAGACCGTCTTTCTGACAATTTAGAAAATATGTTGCGTAGAGTTTACTTCCCTCCTTTCCTCTTGAAATCATCTAATAAAATGCACTAATAGAATTATCCTGCAGACTTTGAAAGAGCTGAGATCTGGAACTAAATATTTCTCCTTATTTTCTGATGGAAGTGCCAGTCAAAATGTAGCCCTTTCATTTTTTCGTTATAGAGAGTCATAAGAATGCAGTATCAACCAGTGTCCTGTGTGTCTTTCCTCAACAGGTTTGATATAGAGATTGAACCTTTATTTGCATGCATAGCTCTCTATGATATAAAAGAAAGAAAAAAGGTAAGTGTGCATACAGTATTTTTGTTCAGTTAGCTTGGGTTTTTGTTTCTGGAGCAGTAGTTTAGGAAAACTAACAAAAAACATGCAGCTTTTTCACACATGCAGTCTGATCCAGGGTTCTTTTTATTCAGTCAAAGTCACATGCTTGCAATTGTTTATTTTGTAGTTCTAGTTACTACTTTTGTCTTATTTTAAAATAAAATTTGATCCATTTTTGTTTTGCAATACATTTTAATTATTTTTCTTTTCAAGATCTCAGAAAATTTCCATTGTGACCTCAACCCTGATTCATTAAGAGGATTCTTGCGTTCTCATACACCCTCCATTGACTTGTCTACTCAGGCAAGATCGGCAGTATTTTCTGTCACTTATCCCTCATCGGATATATACCTAGTAATAAAGGTATGTTACAGTGCTACTTCAACACCATTCCTCCTGTTCCTGGCTGTGCCTGTTGTCTCAGTTCATGGAGCTGACAAACACGAGCTTCCTGTAGCTGAGATGAATTCTGATAGTTTTTAATAGTAGATGTGCACATATCCACTGATATATCTCACTCCCAAGCTAAGAAATTATATTGATAACGTGTGTTATCAACATACTACTATTTGGGTGATATTTTTTCTTTGCGAGTGTCTTATTTTACTGCTTTTTGTAGATAGAAAAAGTGCTTCAGCAAGGAGAAATTGGAGACTGTGCAGAACCCTACATGGTTCTTAAAGAAAGTGAGGCTGGCAAGGTAAGTAAATAACTATAAAAAGTGTTTATCAAAAAATACATGCACAAGGAAAAAAAACAGAGAAAGAGCAGACTCTTTGGAATAGGGCAGAATCCCAAGTGCATTGAGGAGGAAGCCAGTTAGTGCATCAGTGGTGCAAGCAGTCTGGTGTCTATGACCAATGGGAAGAAGTCACGAGAAGGCAAGATGCACTTTCATTATTCACGCCTTTGGAAATCAATAGTGACAAAGTCTTGAGTCACAAAGCAGATAGGTGTGTGCAAAGGACATGACAATGCAATGTGGAGTTAGCAGAAATATTTGTACCTTAGAGACATGTTATTGATCTGAATGGGCAAACAACCTATTGTAGTGTGTATGTGGCCAGTTCAGTGTTGTCATTCATAGATAACACGAGCTCTGTTTGAGGAATTCATGGTCTTTTACCTCCCTGTAGCAGACTGACAATGTTTGCTGGACTTCCAAACATATCTCACCTTTAGAGTATTGCTTTCAGCAGAAATAAACTGCTAACATTTCGTGGTGATTGTTCATGCAGGGCTTGAGGGTCACTGCAAAAAGATTTGCATTCTCCTTTTCTATAATGAAGATGAACTCATTGAAAAGAAATGAGAAGTGAATGTACAAATCAAAACAGCTATGATCCTGACAGTGATGTAGCAAGAAAACACAAGAGATAAGAATGCAAATTATTTACTGAACTGTAAATATATAATTTCCATTTTTTATCTATAGTAGCATTAAAATAACTGATAGCTTTTTAAACAGTCATTATTTTCTTTGTCTTAGACAAAAGAAAAGATTGAAAAACTGAAAGCCCAAGCTGAATCGTTTTGTCAGCGGTTGGGGAAATACAGAATGCCATTCGCCTGGATTCCCATAAACCTAACTAATTTCTTCAACCTTTCAACACTTGAACGAGAAATACCTGAGGCCGAAGGTTTAAACGGTAGTTGCCTAACTTTTCTAACTAACACAAAGCGACTCTTCAGTAGGACTGTGCATAGGAAACACTGTCATTCCCTCTGGCATCAAGAGTGAACGACAGATTCAGAATCACATCTTCTCAGCCTTCCTTTTCAGTGCAACAAACACTTACAACTTAATATGCTCACTGTTTCCTCTCTGCATATTTATTTTTACGTATGCTAAATAGTCTTCCATGATTTAGACCCAATTTTCGTTGAACACTGGCTTTGTAGAAGTAAAACTTCCCTTGCCACACGGAGTTCGTTTGCAGTACAGGGCAATCAAAATACCTATCATCTTAGTTTCTAGAGCATACAGAAGCATTGGTCAACAATATTGACCAATGTGCTTTATAACCCATGGACCAAAAATTTGAATAAGCTTGTGCTCTACAGCAGAAATAATATCACTTCACTAGGTGTGTCCTGGCATTCCACTGTTTCATGTAGTCTGAAATAAAAGTAATGGAATGTTTTAGGTACTCTCTTATCTTCTGATGTTGCTGAGAAGTTGTGGATTTCTAGTGTATTCTGATTGTGTTTGTACTGAAGCAACACAACACAAGCTTATGTTTTATTTAATTTCCCTTTGAAGGGAAAGGATCCACTAGTGACAAGAAAGCAACACTGCTTCAGGCGAGAAGACTTTCTGAGAGAAGTCTCAGCTCGGAGGACAGCTATCCAGCATCAAACTTCAAACCAACTTCTCAGACCCTAACCACCTTCTTTAAGCAGGTACTGAATACTCTTCATTTCTGATTGTGTAAGACATTTTTCATCTGTGTAATGTGAACTGTGTTGGGAAAAGTTACCAGTGATGTTTGTGTGGGGACAGAGGATAACTGCTGTCAAGTGGGCAGTAACCTGCTTGCTTTGCATGCCTCAAGGACATGGTTCACTCAGAAGATTTTCCCAGTGTGGTGGAGTATTGTTATAAAGGTACTGATTTTTGTCTTTCTCCTGATAGGAAGGAGACAGGCTCAGTGATGAAGATCTGTTCAAATTTTTAGCTGATTTCAAAAGATTGTCTTCCTTGCAAAGAAGAATTAAGACTTTACCAGGTACATAATTCATTTTGGATGGAAAAGGGTATATATACTTTTGTTCCCTAAATTGTTCTGTGAATTCTAACCCCAAAATATAATTAACTTGGGTTTTAAGTCTATGTGTGATTGTGGAACTTCCTGAGTTCCCAGTGTCTACCTGAGCACAGGTGCTTTTGAGGTTTTTTTCTGTATGAGTGAGTACGTAGATTTACATTTAGCTTGATATTATACGATGATTTGCCTGCCTTCCTAATTTACAGTGTATCTATTGGATGTCTTTTGTTATTATGCAAACTGTTTGAAAACAGTGCTTTAAAGCAAATTCCTAAGATCCTTGCAATTTCCCTGCAATGTTTTTAAATGGATCGTATTTTACAAAGGGAGATTGAAATGTGTACACATTTCATCTTATTTGGGTATTTGGGTCAGTGTTAGTTAATAGAGAAGCAGAGGCAGTGTTTGGCTACTGTCAAAAACCTGAACAGATTATTTTTTCTTTTTACATAAATTACAGCTCAAGCTGTACTGGATTGTAAAGGAACATTAAAAAGTATGAACTGAGTGCAAAGCTGTTTTGTGTTTTTAGCTGATGGCCAGAAATGACAAGTCTGAGTTCCCCAAACGGTTTTCACTTATCACAACAGAGAATTTAAGTTGAAAGTCTAGTTATAGTTCAGTAAATCTTATCAGTATTAACTGTTTAACTGCTCACCACAGCAAGCCTGCCTTTCTGGGTGGGTGGTGTCTACTTTGGCAGAGATTAATCAGAGCAGAATCTGAGTGGGAGGAGTGAAAGAGAACTGTATTTAGACAGCAGCCCTTTTACCTTTTATTTGTCTCCCAGACAAATTTTGTATTATTTCTGTGTGAAAGATACTAGAACATCAACCCAGCATATAGTATGCCTTCTTTCTTTCCTGTTTCTTTGAAACTCTACAGGGTAGACATGAAAAACTATATATTGGTCTGATGTGTAGAGATGTGTATAGGTTATTTCCTCTGTACCTTTCTATACCTATGGTTTCATTCTCATGCAGCCGTTCAAGCTGAAGATCCAGTTTTTATTTCTGCACTCTTGCTATGTAACCTCACATACTGTTTTTATTTTTGCTTTATTATACATTGATTATTTTTTATATTTTTGCTGAGATTTAGTGATTTTTTTTTTTTAAAGGAACACTTAAACTGGAGATTTCTCCAGCTCCAGAAAACCTTGGTTATTGTCTGACACCAGAATTACTGCCAGTGAAGCCATTTCCAGAAAACCGTAATCGTCCTCATAAAGAGATTTTGGAATTCCCAATTAGAGAAGTGTATGTTCCCCATACCACTTATAGGTAAGAAATAACAAATATTTTTTAATTTCTTAAGATCCATTTTCAAAAATAATCGTGATTTAGATTTTTTTTTCAGAAATAGAAACCAAAAATATTTTTTTAAAATGTTTAAAACTGCATTAAGCTGATGATTTAATCTTACTAGCCATTACAAGATAAAACCCCTGCAGGATATTCTGTAGTGTATTTACTAAGCTAATCATGTTGTCCTTTCAAAATTTTTCTAAAATATCCAAAAAAACCCTAACGGCTGTAATTGACTTGGTGCGTATGTATGTATTTTTTTTCTTCTTCTGCGTTTTTTTCCCAGTAGATCTTATTATCATTTTTAACAGTTTTGGTAAAAGTTTGTACTGGGTCGTTTCTACTGCTAATTTGAGTCATCTGAGCAGCTGAGGAAGTAATGTGTTGCTCTGTGTACTTTTTCACCATGAATAAGGACTCTAGGCTATGTCATTTCATTTCTTAAATCTGTTGTATTCTGGTGGTTTCAAGGAGACCACAGTGTTCAGTAGCATGCAGCTGAGCAATTCCCATAATTTCTTAGTGGTCTGGCACATCTGTCTCCAAGAAGAAATGAATATAAAAATAATGTGCTTCAACATGTTTCTGCAGCACAGTAGTGCTAGTGAACAGTGATATTGGTAATAGCTGACCAGCAATAATTCAAAACAGATGTATTGCAGTATTATAGATACAGAAACACTAGCTTTCATGTGACCATTGTGTTAGTGAAGGCATGGAAGTAAAGCAGAATACTTCTTACAACAGCAATTGGTGCTATTCTAAGGGACTTTTCTGATCCCTAAAACAGTAGCTAGGTACTGAATTGTATTAATGGCAAAGATGTGACTGTCAGTAAGGAATCGCAGGATGAAGAAGCTGAATAAAGGGATGTAAAGCTTATTCACTCCTTGCAGCAGAGATTAGCAAAAGAGCCAGCTCTCCTGCCCACTCACCTGACCCCACCCAAAAGGGAGAAGGGAAATGCAAGGCTTGTGGTTCGGTACATCTCAGAACTGCAAGGCTGCAGACTAATTTATCCTGGCGAGGTGCTCTACACCTTCATGGAAAACTGGAGAGTCAATGGGGCTGTTGGTGACACCTGGATTTGGGTCTCAGCTTTTAAAGAGAGCGGAATGAAGAAGTGGCATCTTATCTTACGATAACAACTTGTAATGTGGCGTCAGCAGGGAAATAAGTCAGCCAGCCAGTTTGGATAGAGCCTCGTTAAAGTTTTGGAGGAGTTACTCATGGGCTGTGCCATGAATCTGTGATAGTTAAACTCCTGAGGGCAGTTTCTTTGCACTGTCGGCACCAGAATGCTAAAATGCAGAGTGTTACAGTACTTCTGTCGTCTCTGCGTATCAAAGATAGAATTAAATGTCTTTTTTTTTTTTTTTTTTAATTTTTAGGGATTTTATGCAGACATTTCTGTAGGGGAAGTAGTTTTTACACAATTGAAAGTGCAAAAGTAAATTAACTTGAGTAATGATACCTCTCTTTTTTTTAATGAAAAAATAAGACAGAATTTTAACTTTCCTACTCATTGTCTGGTCCTAATAAGGAATAGCATGTGTCAACTCCAGTGTGCAGCCTCATAGTGTCTGAAGATCTGCTTTTGAAAATTAAAAGCATTAGCAACCACTGTGTTGCTGAGCTAGAAAGAGAGTTGAGTCTGAATAGAATATTCTGTCTTAGTTCTCACCACGGTAAACTTCTGCAGCTAGACATCATGAATATCAAAGCCACCATGCTGAAAAATAATTTGTGCATCTGCTGAAGCAAGCTGGGGTGTCTCCTCACTATCCTTCAGTTGCTAGGGTATCTGTATTGAATACATACACCCACATTAGAAGAAATGCTTGCTATAGCTCAGCAGTTAGGCTCTTCGAGCAAAAGTTCACATCTAGCATGCTTAATCTTTTCAAGCTTTTTGTGCTTTGTTTTGATTTTCACCCTAAGTAAAAGTCATGGTAACAAAACAAGGTAGGATCTGTCCAGTCTAACTTGTAATAATGAAGGAAATATCTATACAGAATAGTTGCCTTCGTTAATCTTTGCCTTAATTAGTGAATCAATGGTGATGACACAACTGACATGCTGTAAGTAGTCTTATGCTGTAAACTGGAAACTCAGTTAATACCCAAATAAAATTCTGAAGACAGTTAATTACATACACTGGAGAAATGGTGAAAAAAATGCAGAAATGTGAGGTTATATTTCAACTGCCTTGTGACAAAAACATGTTTGGAGTGAGAAAAGGGAATTGCCAACTGAAACTATTTATGTACTCCAGCAATAGTTCCCCAGAAAGTCAGAGGAGACAGCTTTGCAAACATTATAAAACAGCAGAGTCTGGAACTTGGTGGGGTCCAGGAAGTAACACCTGTGTTTGTGCAGTGCACAAGGTGCACAGGGTGAAAACACCTCCCTTTCCCACAAGCCAGAATCACCTAGCCACAACTGAAAGGCTTTTGCCACACAGTCATGCCAGCACTCCTTTTGGTGAGCAAAAGCATAGTTAGGGAACGTAGGCCAATGTATTTAGAATCATAGAAATGTTTAAGTTGGAAAAGACCTTTAAGATCATTGAGTCCAACTGGAGACCTGTTACAGCCCAGTCCACCACTAACCCATATCCCTAAGCGCCACATCTACACTAAATAGCTTCAGGGATGGTGACTCAACCACTTCCATGGGCAGCCTATTCCAATGCTTGACAACCCTTTCGTGAAGAAATGTTTCCTAACATCCAATCTAAACCTCCCCTGGCACAACTTGAGGCCATTTCCTCTCGTTCTATCACTTGTTATTTGGGAGAAGGGACTGACATCCACCTCACTACAATGTCCCTTCAGGCAGTTGTAGAGAGCGATAAGGTCTCCCCTCAGCCTCCTCTTCTCCAGGCTAAACAACCCCAGCTCCCTCAGCTGCTCCCCATCAGACTTGTGCTCTAGACCCTTCATCAGCTTCATTGCCCTTCTTTGGACACACTCCAGCACCTCAATGTCTTTCTTGTAGTGAGGGGCCCAAAACTGAATACAATATTCAAGGTGCAGCCTCACCAGTGCCAAGTACAGGGGACAATCCTGTAGTCCTGCTGGCCACACTATTTCTGATACAGGCCAGGATGCTGTTGGCCTTCTTGGCCACCTGGGCACACTGCTGGCTCATGTTCAGCCGACTGTTGACCAACACCCCCAGGTCTTTCTCTGCTGGGCAGCTTTCCAGCCACTCGTCCCCAAGCCTGTAGCGTTGCATGGGGTTGTTGTGACTGAAGTGCGGGACCCAGCACTTGGTCTTGTTGAATCTCATACAGTTGGCCTCAGCCCATCGATCCAGCCCATCCAGATCCCTCTCTAGAGCCTTCCTACCCTTTGCATAATTTAACTGTCGTGCAATTCTCCTTGCTTAGTTCTCTGCATGGTGAATACTGTTTTAAGCCTGTGATTAAACTAATGTATGCAAAGTAACTCTGAATTTTAATAAAGCCAGTTATTTAGTGTTTCATGTTATTTTATGCCCTTTTGTCTAACCTGAAAAGTAGAACTATCCTGTCTTAATTAAGCAATGTGCTAGCATTTAGTCATAACTAAGTGTTATGGCCTGCTAGTGTGTTACAGGTGATTTAATGTTTCCTAATTTTTGACTGTAACTCTGCAAACCTTTTTTTTACCAGTGCTATATATTTAGATATTAAAAGAATGAAAAATTGATAAAATAATTATCTGCTTTCTATTAATGTTATCATGGATGTTGATGAGGGTTACATATAGAAATGAATAACAAATAAATGAAAACTTAGAAAAATATAGGCTGGTAAGCTCTTACTGGCATAATAATATCTCTACACATGTTGAAACAAATACTAATGAAACATCTAGCTTCAGTTTTTCTCCTGAATGTTTAAAAGAAATGCAAAAATTTGTTTACTTGGTTTGGGTTTTGTTTCCTATGTAAGATATTTCAGAGGAAAAAGTTGGGGTTTTTTTATATATTAGGTTTTTCCTTTGTGATAGGAGAAGCAGAGTCTTCTGTTATAGTCTTTGAACTTAGCTCTTGCTAGTTTTTATACTAGTGTAATGCCATTATTTTAAATTATGTTATTTCTGATTTATGCCAGAGAGATCAACCAGCCTACCTTTTTTGTGCACTGTGAAATTGAGCACTTCTTTTTGTTGTGTACCTACATTTCTTGAATAAAAATAGTTCCCTGAAAATGTCAAAACATTCCAAAATTTATTTCTTTCAATACCCTTCTATTTTTAATAGGAAAATTCATATAATTTAAAGTTTGTTTATAATTTTATTTTTGCATTAAATATAAATGAAAATGATGCTGCTTACTGCCACTATGAAATGTTGGTGCTGAGGAAGAGGCATTTGTACCATCACTTCAGCAGTAACTCAGCTTAACCAGGCACAGGAAGTCCTGTCTTTGATGGAGGAACTGCCTAACGCTTAGGGGATTTTCGGGGAGAGGCAGGGAAAAAAACCTTTCCTTTGCTGGTTTGTTTTGTTTAATTGCAAACCACTTGGCACTATGCTTAGCCTTGCTGTAGTCTGCAGTGGGAGCTGGAGGCCTTCTGCTTTGGTGGCAATCATTCTACCCCATCCTTGACTAGTTTTGAGAGATGAAAAGCTATTGATGTATAATGATCTGTTATTCCTGTTATTGCCATCACAGCGTTATCTATTCCTGTCTGGCTTTCTGCCCATGGGATCTGGAGACAGCACAGTAGCCCTGTGTGTCTTCTACAGGGCCATTGCTCTAGTTTCATGCCACTTGGAGATGCTAGCAGTTCTAACTTCTTTTTCAGAGTAAACAAAGTGGAGATTAATATTGCACTGTTGTGCACAGGTGAAGGAAGCAGCTTAAGCTAGCTACTACAGTTTCAGACAGAGATGTGAGAGTGTCCTGATATATTCTGCTCCTCAGTACACATGACTTCATCCCAACACAAATAGCTGCCTTTTCTGAGCTCCATAATCTTTCC